ATAAATGTTACTTTGCTCACACTCCAACAGCACGTCAAGTCCTAAAAACCATTTGTCTCCATTCACTCCTATCCAACACGCTCACGCATGTGTGCCCCTCGCACACAAAACCTTCTTTACTCCTTCCCTCCAACCTTTCCTTGGCCGACCCCTACCCTGCCTTCCCTCCACTACAGATTTATACACTCTCGAAGTCATTCTATTTTGTTTCATTCTCTCTACATGTTCGAACCACCTCAACAACCCTTCCTCAGCCCTCTGGATAATAGTTTTGGTAATCCCGCACCTCCTCCTAATTTCCAAACTACGAATTCTCTGCATTATATTCACACCACACATTGCCCTCAGACATGACATCTCCAATGCCTCCAGCCTTCTTGTGGCAACATTCACCACCCGTGTTTCACACCCATATAAGAGCGTTGGTATAACTATACTCTCATACATTACCCTCTTTGCTTCCATGGACAAAGTTCTTTGTCTCCACAGACTCCTCAGTGCACCACTCACCTTTTTCCCCTCATCAATTCTATGATTCACCTCATCTTTTATAGACCTATCTGCTGACACGTCCACTCCTAAATATCTGAATACATTCACCTCCTCCATACTCTCTCCTTCCAATATGATATCCAATCTTTCGTCACCTAATTTTTTTTGTTATCCTAATCACCTTACTCTTTCCTATATTCACTTTTAATTTTTTTTACATACCCTACCAAAACTCATCCACCAACCTCTGCATCTTCTCTTCAGAATCTCCCAAAAGCACAGTGTCATCAGCAAAGAGCAACTGTGACAACTCCCACTTTGTGTTAGATTCTTTATCTTTTAACCCCACACCTCTTGCCAACACCCAAGCATTCACTTCTCGTACAACCCCATCTATAAATATGTTGAAAAACTATGGTGACATTACACACCCTTGTCTAAGGCCTACTTTTACTGGCCTTAGACAAGGATATCTAACCTGAGCCTCACTATCCTCGTAAAAACTCCTCACTGCTTTCAGTAACCCACCTCCTATTCCATACATTTGCCACATTGCCCCCTATCCACCCAGGGTGTTTATTTTATTCTATTTATTCTTCTTACATAGCTCTGATTTTTTCTCATCGTTTACTTTCACCTCTTTTTCATTATATTCTGTTATTATTTTTATTATATTCTTTTTTTATAATTTATTGCAGTGAATAATTTCCCCTGGCATAGTGCATGAAGAATGCACCAGAGGATAAGATATCAGACTAACATCTGGAAAGGATATCCTGTACTCGACACACCCAGACTAGGCAATCACGCAACCAACTCATTGGGAAGGCTTCACTGGGAAGGTTTCCTGTTAGGCAGCCCAGGGACTCATTGGGAAGGTTTCACTGGGAAGGTTTCCTGTTAGGCAGCCCAGGGACTCATTGGGAAGGTTTCACTGGGAAGGTTTCCTGTTAGGCAGCCCAGGGACTCATTGGGAAGGTTTCCTGTTAGGCAGCCCAGGGACTCATTGGAAAGGTTTCCTGTTAGGCAGCCCAGGGACTCATTGGAAAGGTTTCCTGTTTGGCAGCCCAGGGACTCATTGGAAAGGTTTCCTGTTAGGCAGCCCAGGGACTCATTGGGAAGGGTTCCTGTTAGGCAGCCCAGGGACTCATTGGAAAGGTTTCCTGTTAGGCAGCCCAGGGACTCATTGGGAAGGGTTCCTGTTACGTAGCTCAGGGACTCATTGGGAAGGTTTCCTGTTAGGCAGCCCAGGGACTCATTGGAAAGGTTTCCTGTTAGGCAGCCCAGGGACTCATTGGAAAGGTTTCCTGTTAGGCAGCCCAGGGACTCATTGGGAAGGGTTCCTGTTAGGCAGCCCAGGGACTCATTGGAAAGGTTTCCTGTTAGGCAGCCAGGGACTCATTGGGAAGGTTTCCTGTTAGGCAGCCAGGGACTCATTGGAAAGGTTTCCTGTTAGGCAGCCCAGGGACTCATTGGGAAGGTTTCCTGTTAGGCAGCCCAGGGACTCATTGGGAAGGTTTCCTGTTAGGCAGCCCAGGGACTCATTGGGAAGGTTTCCTGTTAGGCAGCCCAGGGACTCATTGGGAAGGTTTCCTGTTAGGCAGCCCAGGGACTCATTGGGAAGGTTTCCTGTTAGGCAGCCCAGGGACTCATTGGGAAGGTTTCCTGTTAGGCAGCCCAGGGACTCATTGGGAAGGGTTCCTGTTAGGCAGCCCAGGGACTCATTGGAAAGGTTTCCTGTTAGGCAGCCAGGGACTCATTGGAAAGGTTTCCTGTTAGGCAGCCCAGGGACTCATTGGGAAGGTTTCCTGTTAGGCAGCCCAGGGACTCATTGGGAAGGGTTCCTGTTACGTAGCTCAGGGACTCATTGGGAAGGTTTCCTGTTAGGCAGCCCAGGGTTTCATTGGGAAGACGTCACGTTAGGCAGTCTGTTACCTTGGTAACAGATACCTACAAATTGATCAAGGTCCCAGGACCGAAACGTTTTCTGATATGCTGAAAATGGTATAAAAGTTGAAAAATACTAGAGGGGAGCTTACGAAGACAGTTCGGTCCGACTTGGACCATTTACTAAGTCACACTAACAGAAAGGAGAGAAGGAGGGAGTATATATAGACCAGAAGACAGGGACGGGACAATAGAGGTAGTAGGAAAGGAAGTAGAGAGATAGTGGTAGAGGTAGTAGTAGCAGTAGTTGGACCGAAACGTTGTTGTAAGCTCCTCTCTCCTATGTGCGGGTTATTTGTGTATTGTTCCAGTCACGGTATTGTGTCTTTTTGTTAATTATGTTCTAGTATTTGCTTACGTGTCTATCCAAACCAATCTTGGGATTTAGTTCCGGGACTAAAGGGTCAGGTTCCAGAGCAGGTGGTCCGAGGACTCACTGGGAAGCCTATCATAGCAACCATGATACTCGCTCTTAACTCTCTCTATTAACTGTGAAACATTTAGAACTAAACATCTCCTCTGTCACTGGCGGTAACTTTGCGCAACATTTGGGTATCTTTATTCTGGAAACATTTCTCTAGCCAGTAGCATCTTCAGTCCAAGACTGATGAAATAAACACATCGACTCCAGGCTGAGGGACTGATTACCTCAACTCCTCATCTTCCACCTTTCGCTGCATTGGACTGAAGAAGCCAAGGGCTGGCGAAACTTTTCCAGAATAACGATACCCAAATGTTGCACTAATGTCTCATTTATCATATACACAGAGTTTACTTTAATCCCCATTTTAGTAGCTAAAGTATTCTTAAAGTTAGTGTATCGGTAAATGATCCACCTGCGTTCGACAGGTTCGATGATAGCGGATAATTGATCAATTACCAGTACGATGATTACTTACAGACTAAGAGAACTACAATGAACCTGATTTATGTCAACTACCAAAGGCAAGAGCATTGCTGTGAGGTTTCACAGTTTATACACACACAATGTTACGTAGAAACGACCAACATTTATAATTGAAGCAATAAACGCCTAATACATAGCTCTGGCAAAGTAAACAATGTGAGTAGCAGGGACACTCTGAAACACTGAGTAGCAGGGACACTCTGAAACACTGAGTAGCAGGGACACTCTGAAACACCGAGTAGCAGGGACACTCTGAAACACTGAGTCCACAGATATTTCCTTATTTACAAGGTCTTGTGTTGGGCACAGACAGCAAGGTGGAGTCACATCTTCGACGTCTTGGTATCTCTTGAGTGCTGGACGGACGACCGCACATACACACGCATAAAGAGACACATCTTTCTCTTTCTAACTTATTCATGGAACTGATTCCTCCTCATTCTGATCGCTCTAAATGTGACTGCCCTCCGTCTGGCTGCATTTTCCCTGGCTTCTCTCCTTCTGACTGCCTTCTCTCTCTCTTTGGCCTCTCTGGTTGCATTCCCTTTCACTGCTCTTTTTCTGGCTGCTCTCCCTCTGGCTGCCTTCATTCTGACTGCCCTCTCTCTGGTTGCCCTCCCTCTGAATACGCTCTCTCTCCGATTGCTTTCCTTCTAGTTGCCTTCCTTATGACTGCTCTCTCCCTCTCTCTCTCTCTCTCTCTCTCTGGCTGCCTTCCCTTTGACTCTCCTCCCTGCCCACTCCTTTCCTTGTCTTTTTTTTCCTCCTGCTCACCTCCGTCACTCTCAAGACTTCACTGAACTCTAACCATGCTCCTTCTGTCAAGAAAAGTGTTCTTGTCTCTTTCCTTCGATGTGTCCTCCACATCTGTCAGTCTCAATTGCTCGACTCTGAAATTTTCACTTCTTGCAGCTCGTTCTCTCGCCTTGGCTATCTTCCAGTTTTCATAAACTCTGCCACCTACTCTTAGGCTAAACGGACTTTCTTCCCTTCCCCACTCACGTCTTCTGTGAAATTGCCAGTTCTTTGCTACATTTCCAGTCTTCTAAATCTTGGCAACATCCTTCGTATTTTGGATAACAAACTTGCTTTCTGTCAGAGTAATGCCCTTCGTAGTAAGCTAGGTCATAATTCTTCTCCTGTCACCGAGTATTCCAATGTCTACTCTATTTCCTCTTTCTCCTGTCCTCTCCAGTACTCTTGTGAAACAAATCGCTCTCTTTTCCCAGACTTAAAAATACAAAGATGTTTGCCTTACCGACTCTACGAAAGCTCTTTTCTGATCACAACAATTTTCAGAACACTCGTAACCTGATCTGACCTTCGCCTCCTCCTCCTCCTCCTCCTCCTCCTCCTCCTCCTCCTCCTCCTCTCTCGCCTTCTTTCCTTTCCTCTTGATCTGTTTTCTGTATTTCCCTGTTTTTTTCCAATCTTCTGACCTTCCTCTTTCTTGCTTCCTTTTCTCTCTCAAGACGGGCCAGTAGACCTTCCGCAGTGCTTCTCTGCCCGTCTCGGGACAGTTGGTGAGTGTCAAAACTGGTTTATAAAACTGACAAGTTGAAAAATAAGACACTTGTGCAACATTTTGGAATCTTTATTGAGGAAACGTTTCGCCAGCCAGTGGCTTCTGCAGTCCAATGTTAGTTCATCATACATGATTATTAGTTCATCATACATGATTATTAGTTCATCATACATGATTATTAGTTCATCATACATGGTTGTTAGTTCATCATACATGGTTGTTAGTTCATCATATATGATTATTAGTTCATCATACATGATTATTAGTTCATCATACATGGTTGTTAGTTCATCATACATGATTATTAGTTCATCATACATGATTATTAGTTCATCATACATGGTTGTTAGTTCATCATACATGGTTGTTAGTTCATCATACATGGTTGTTAGTTCATCATACATGGTTGTTAGTTCATCATACATGATTATTAGTTCATCATACATGATTATTAGTTCATCATACATGGTTGTTAGTTCATCATACATGATTATTAGTTCATCATACATGATTATTAGTTCATCATACATGGTTGTTAGTTCATCATACATGGTTGTTAGTTTATCATACATGATTATTAGTTCATCATACATGGTTGTTAGTTCATCATACATTGTTGTTAGTTCATCATACATGGTTGTTAGTTCATCATACATGGCTGTTAGTTCATCATACATGATTATTAGTTCATCATACATGGTTGTTAGTTCATCATACATAGTTGTTAGTTCATCATACATAGTTGTTAGTTCATCATACATAGTTGTTAGTTCATCATACATGATTATTAATTCATCATACATAGTTGTTAGGTCATCATACATGATTATTAGTTCATCATATATAGTTGTTAGTTCATCATACATGGTTGTTAGTTCATCATACATGGTTGTTAGGTCATCATACATGATTATTAGTTCATCATACATAGTTGTTAGTTCATCATACATGATTATTAGTTCATCATACATGATTATTAGTTCATCATACATAGTTGTTAGTTCATCATACATAGTTGTTAGTTCATCATACATGATTATTAATTCATCATACATGGTTGTTAGCTCATCATACATGGCTGTTAAGTTCATCATACATGATTATTAATTCATCATACATGGTTGTTAGTTCATCATACATGGCTGTTAGTTCATCATACATGATTATTAGTTCATCATACATGGTTGTTAGTTCATCATACATGGTTGTTAGTTCATCATACATGGCTGTTAGTTCATCATACATGATTATTAGTTCATCATACATGGTTGTTAGTTCATCATACATGGCTGTTAGTTCATCATACATGATTATTAGTTCATCATACATGGTTGTTAGTTCATCATACATGGTTGTTAGTTCATCATACATGGCTGTTAGTTCATCATACATGATTATTAGTTCATCATACATGGTTGTTAGTTCATCATACATAGTTGTTAGTTCATCATACATAGTTGTTAGTTCATCATACATGATTATTAATTCATCATACATAGTTGTTAGGTCATCATACATGATTATTAGTTCATTATACATAGTTGTTAGTTCATCATACATGATTATTAATTCATCATACATAGTTGTTAGATCATCATACATGATTATTAGTTCATCATACATAGTTGTTAGTTCATCATACATTGTTGTTAGTTCATCATACATGGTTGTTAGTTCATCATACATGATTATTAGTTCATCATACATAGTTGTTAGTTCATCATACATAGTTGTTAGTTCATCATACATGATTATTAATTCATCATACATGGTTGTTAGCTCATCATACATGGCTGTTAGTTCATCATACATGATTATTAGTTCATCATACATAGTTGTTAGTTCATCATACATGATTATTAGTTCATCATACATAGTTGTTAGTTCATCATACATGATTATTAGTTCATCATACATGATTATTAGTTCATCATACATAGTTGTTAGCTCATCATACATGGCTGTTAGTTCATCATACATGATTATTAGTTCATCATACATAGTTGTTAGTTCATCATACATGATTATTAGTTCATCATACATGATTATTAGTTCATCATACATAGTTGTTAGTTCATCATACATGATTATTAGTCTATCATACATGGTTGTTAGATCATCATACATAATTATTAGTTCATCATACATGGTTGCTAGTTCATCATACATGATTATTAGTTCATCATACATGGTTGTTAGTTCATCATACATGGTTGTTAGTTCATCATACATGGTTGTTAGTTCATCATACATGGTTGTTAGTTCATCATACATGATTATTAGTTCATCATACATGGTTGTTAGTTCATCATACATGGTTGTTACTTCATAAACAAACCATACCACGGGTGGAGATAGAACCCGCGATAAGAGAGTCTCAAAACTCCAGACCCTCGCATTAGCCACTGGACCAGCTAGCCACAGTAAGATTCGTCCAACTAGGTATATATCTACATCAACGGAAGGTTAGCATAGGCACCACTGTGACGAATCTTATTGTGGCTAGCTGGTCCAGTGGCTAACGCGACGGTCTGGAGTTTTGAGACTCTCTGATCGCGGGTTCTATCCCCGCCCGTGGTATGGTTTGTTTGCAATCGTGTCATTACGATTTCGTGAGTCTTGTTACCTCATCATACATGGTTGTTACCTCATCATACATGGTTGTTAGTTCATCATACATGGTTGTTACCTCATCATACATGGTTGTTAGTTCATCATACGTGGTTGTTAGTTCATCATACATGGTTGTTAGTTCATCATACATGATTATTAGTTCATCATACATGATTATTAGTTCATCATACATGGTTGTTAGTTCATCATACATGGTTGTTAGTTCATCATACATAGTTGTTAGTTCATCATACATGATAATTAGTTCATCATACATGATTAATTAGTTCATCATACATGGTTGTTAGTTCATCATACATGGTTGTTATCATTACTGGTTGTTAGTTCATCATACATGATTATTAGTTCCTCATGCATGATTATTAGTTCATCATACATAGTTGTTAGTTCATCATACATTATTAGTTCATCATACATAGTTGTTAGTCCATCATACATAGTTGTTAGTTCATCATACATGGTTGTTAGTTCATCATACATGGTTGTTAGTTCATCATACATGGTTGTTACTTCATAAACAAACCATACCACGGGTGGAGATAGAACCCGCGATAAGAGAGTCTCAAAACTCCAGACCCTCGCATTAGCCACTGGACCAGCTAGCCACAGTAAGATTCGTCCAACTAGGTATATATCTACATCAACGGAAGGTTAGCATAGGCACCACTGTGACGAATCTTATTGTGGCTAGCTGGTCCAGTGGCTAACGCGACGGTCTGGAGTTTTGAGACTCTCTGATCGCGGGTTCTATCCCCGCCCGTGGTATGGTTTGTTTGCAATCGTGTCATTACGATTTCGTGAGTCTTGTTGCCTCATCATACATGGTTGTTACCTCATCATACATGGTTGTTAGTTCATCATACATGGTTGTTAGTTCATCATACATGGTTGTTAGTTCATCATTCATGGTTGTTAGTTCATCATACATGGTTGTTAGTTCATCATACATGGTTGTTAGTTCATCATACATGGTTGTTAGTTCATCATTCATGGTTGTTATACATGGAGTAACTCCCCCAGTCACAGGAGTCACTTGGTGGTGATAGAAGATACAGTAGCTTCAGGGAGACTTTCAACTCACGCAGGCGTAGAAGTGTTTGCAGGTGTCGAGTGACAGCTCCTGGCCCCGTCTCTTAACTTTCATCGACCGATTTCTGATCCTCCAGGGCCAGATCATATCTACTCTTGAAGCTGCGCATAGTGTTTGCCTCTATCTCGGTCATGCCTTTTACTTACCTGTCTCGTGCTGAAAAAAGTACTTTCCAAAGTTCCTATCACTTACCTTCTACATCAGTTGTCTGTGTCCCGTAGCTCCCTCTCCACGCATCTCAGCCTTTTCCTATCCACTCTAATCCACAGAGTATTGTGCTGGTAGTGACCGTGTCTTGGTCTTCTCCTGTTCTTAGTGTCAGTTCAAGTCTCTTCTTGCAGTCCTCTTCCCTCACTGCCAGCATCAATCTCACTGCAAATCTCTGCAGGTGTGTGTACTCACCTAATTGTGGTTACAGGGGTCGAGACTCAGCTTCTGGCCCCGCCTCTTCACTGATCGCTACTAGGTCCTCTCCCTCTCTGCTTCCTGAGCTTTGTCATACCTCTTCTTAAAACTATGTATGGTTCCCGCCTCCACTACTTCACTTGCTAGGCTATTCCACTTCCTGACGACTCTATGACTGAAGAAATACTTCCTAACGTTCCTGTGACTCATCTGAGTCTTCAGCTTCCAATTGTGACCCCTTGTTTCTGTGTCCCCTCTCTGGAACATCCTGTCTCTGTCCACCTTGTCTATTCCCCGCAGTATCTTGTATGTCGTTATCATGTCTCTCCTGACCCTTCTGTCCTCCAGTGTCGTCAGTCCGATTTCCCTCAACCTTTCCTCGTACGACATTCCCCTGAGCTCTGGAACTAACCTTGGTGCAGACCTTTGTACTTTCTCTAACTTCTTGACGTGCTTGACCAGGTGTGGGTTCCAGACTGGTGCTGCACACTCCAGTATGGGCCTAACATACACAGTGTACAGTGTCTTGAACGATTCCTTACTAAGGTATCGGAACGCTATTCCCAGGTTTACCAGGCGCCCGTATGCTGCAGCAGTTATTTGGTTGATGTGTGCCTCCGGTGACGTGCTCGGTGTTATGGTCACCCCAAGATCTTTCTCCCTGAGTGAGGTCTGTAGTCTTTGTCCACCTAGCCTATACTCTGTCTGCGGTCTTCTTTGCCCCTCCCCAATCTTCATGACTTTGCATTTGGCAGGGTTGAATTTGAAGCCAGTTTCTGGACCACGTGTCCAGCCTGTCCAGGTCTCTTTGCAGTCCTGCCTCATCCTCATCCGATTTAATTCTTCTCATCAGCTTCACATCATCTGCGAATAGGGACACTTCAGAGTCTATTCCTTCCATCATGTTGTTCGCATATATCAAAAATAGCACTGATCCTATAACTGACCCCTGTGGGACCCCGCTCGTCACAGGCGCCCACTGTGATACCTCTTCATGTACCATGACTCGTTGTTGCCTCCCTGTCAGGTATTCCCTGATCCATTGCAGTGCCCTCCCTGTTATATGCGCCCGATCCTCCAGCTTCTGCACTAATATCTTGTGAGGAACTGTGTCAAAGGCCTTCCTGCAGTCCAGGAAAATGCAATAAACCTACCCCTCTCTCTCGTGTCTTACTTCTGTTACCTTGTCATAAAACTCCAGAAGGTTTGTGACGCAGGATTTGCCTTCCATGAACCCATGCTGGTTTTCATTTATAATCTTGTTCCGTTCCAGGTGTTCCACCATTCTCCTCCTGATAATCTTCTCCATGACTTTGCATACTATACAAGTCAGAGACACAGGTCTGTAGTTTAGCGCCTCGTTTCTGTTTCCTTTCCTTTCACCTGTTTGTGGTTGCAGGGGTCGATTCACAGCTCCTGGCCCCGCCTTTTTGCTGGTCGCTACTAGGTCCACTCTCTCCACTGCTCCGTGAACTTTATCGTAACTCTTCTTAAAGCTATGCCTGGATCCTGCCTCCACTACATGCGCGCTTGCTGTTGCGTATGTTGCGTGTGCTCGAGGTTAGAGGTGTGCGTGAAGTTGAAGGTGATTTAAACGTCTTACTCAATCTTGGAAGACATAATGTTGACTCAACACACCATCATCCTTATCAATATTCACCCTCTATCTCTTAAGTTGTTCTCGTAACACAAAAAAAAATATTTTATTAAGCCGCTCGGAATTACGGTCAGACTTGATTATATATCTGACAGAGTCTTAGAGGAGACATTATATAATATTTTATCAATAGATTTTGAGCAGACATCACATCAGACGCTTTGGACATCACACGATGCCACCGACTTCGTTGAGCACCCAGGCACAGACCAGTGAGTGATCCTGCAGCAGCAGCAGCGGTAATCCTGGTGCTGTGACTATGACAAATA